TCTCCATACATCTTGAATCTCTTTGCTCTTGACAGCTTCTGAGAGAGCCATGGTGAACCATGAAGGTCCATGAGCCCTCGAAGCAAAAGGCGCCATGGTCTCTTCGAACTTATGCCTCTTGGAGAATATCATGATATATTTTGAGAATAGGACTTTGAAGTCATCCTTATCATCGTTTGGGGTTAGTCTTCGCAGCCTAGTGCCTTCGATGATTCTATCCGTTATTTCAGGGTCTTGTTCAGCAATAGTGTTGGCAGTTGATAATGAAGGTTCGAACATGGCATTTAGCCATAACTGAAGTAACCAGAAAGGGCCAGCTAGCAGGATATTCTTGGAGGTGTGAGATTTTAGACTCGAAACAGCTGACCTTAGGCTTTCATAAAGATCAACAAGTAGCAATTCGCTTAAGCACACCCTCCGATTCTCATGCAAATCTCTAGCTAGAGGAATAAACCTACTGGCTACCTGTAGGGATCTGCTGCAAAAGACATACCTTGACAGCCATAAGGTAAGGAAAGCAATGTGTTCTACATCCGACACACTGTCTCCTTCAGTATGATAGTGGCTGATAAACTTTGAAAAGCTTGCTAGTTTGACTTCGAAGTCGATAATACTCGAATGTTCTTCGTTGTTAGGGATATATGTTTCTCCTATTGGTGATAGCCCAGTAATGGCCGCTATGTCAAAAAAGGTAGGGGTAATCATTCCACCAGGGAGATGGAAAGTATTATAAGTATTGTCCCAGAAATATAGGGACGCGAATAACAATGGGTGGCTGTAAGTAAAACCTGGCTTCGACAGCTTAATCAAGTTGTAGATACCTAATTCTTCCCATTGCTGGGATTTCTTAGCTTCTACCTTATTGAACCAGTTATGATAAGCAGTGTCGGAGGTGGGGCAAGATCGAAACGGTTTGAAGTTACTTTTTACATAGTCTAATACAAAAGGGTCCTTAGGAGGAACAATTGGATTTTCTACGGTGTTTGAACCAGAAGATTCTATTGCCTTAGGGGCGTCCATTTTATTAAACAGAGGTTTGAAATTATAGCAAACTGGGAAAAATTTTCTGGTGTCTTTTAAAATTTCAAAAACTGTAAGAGGGCCCATTAAAGCTAACCTCTTGCCAGCAGCGGTAGTAGGAATAAGTACCTGGGATGCATACAACATTTCTTTCTCTTTTGAGATCATCTGGGGAACAAGAACAGATTGACCTTGGAAGGTGACAACCTTGCTTTCCATTGTAGTTCCTGCGGTCTTTCCTTTCTTTTTGGAAACCTTTTTTAGTTGGGATGAAGTAGAAGAAGACATTGTTGGAAGGATGTTGGAAGTTTAGGGTTTCGGTGAGAAAAGAGGAAGAAAAGATTCAGAATGTGGGAAGAAAAGAAAAGACTAAGTTGATGGGTTTTTATAATGTGGAAGTTTAAGCATCCACTGAGTAAAGATTGTGATACGTGGTAGTCGTGGGTTGATTTGATGAAGAGCTGGCGTAAAATTAACATTGGTAATAGGCGTGATTAAAGATAGTCATTGTTTTGTAACTGTACCATACTGTGAAATGGTTCAAGGCGGTTAAGGAATCTGAAAAGCGTTATGATTGACGTGACTGGAGTCATATGCAATAAATGTTACGATGATTCGAAGGTCGCATCAAAATCTTATGTATATGTTTAAAATAAGTATTTCTCAAAGGAATCGAAATACATATTTTAAAGGGGCATTTTGTTGGCTGGAGATTTTGATGATATTATTAGAAGCAAAGTAAATTGGACGTTTCGATTGAAATGAAACAAAACGTCATGTTTCGAAATGGTAGAAGCAGTGCTTCAAATGGGCATATCAAAGCTTGGAGCTTCGAGTGACAGTTATGAGAATATATCCAAAGAAGTCTCGAAATGATAACAAGGCTATGTCTAAGAAATGCGTTCGAAGCGAAGAAGTGCCAAAACATTTGAAATTCAAATGCAAGCGGGATGTTCGAAATTTAAAATATATGCGCTGGAGCATTCGAAGACGCGTGGAAGCAAGAGAGAGGCATTGCTCTGCATGTTCTGAACGTGGCAGAATCTTATAGCAAGACCGTTATGGTCGAAGTAGTATAAATAGAAGTCTTAGCATTAGGATTTCGTGTGTCATATCTATTGTACAAAAAAACTCTGTAAACATTCAAATTACCACATGGCTAGGGAAACGAATGCAAGAGCAATGCACGTATGATAACACCACATGTTTATGATTTAATGAAAACTTTTTATCATTTCCAGTATTTTCCTTTATCCTTATGTCAATCCCATTTACAAGTTTTTGCATTTAAAGTACTTTCATTCGAAATCTTTTCACTGATGCCTTACATTTAAATGCTTTCTTTCCATTTCAAATACTTTACATTTCAGAAACTGTTATACATTTTATGCCTTTATCTTCAAGTTTTTATCCTTCGAACACCTTTTTCACTTAAAGCCATTTTACAGTTTTCTTGCATTAAACGCTTTCTTCATATTTCGAATCTTTTACATTAACCGTTTTTATAATTCGAAGTCATTTATTTGTCTTTTATGCAGTTTTTACATGTCTTTACAATTGACCTTTATTCATGCAATTTAGTTTCGCGCACATTTGTTTGATCACACCTTTAGATCTTTAAGAGAGAAATCGAAATAAGTTAAACACCTACACAATATTCTAAATACCAACCATGAATACGAGTTCGATCATGAGAGTTACCCTAATGACCAACACGTCCTAGGATCAATCTAGTCGATCCTGCGAGTTACCAGAGAAATTGAATAACAGTCAGTAAGTTTATTCGATAGTTTGGAGGACTAGCGGTTGTTTACCAGAAATCACTGTAAACACCCATACCAGAGCGCAACAAGTTTTCTCGAGCAGTGAATATCTGGTTTCACAGTCAGTAAACTTTTTGCTCAAGTAATAAATAGCGTGCTCTTTTCGGCCAGACTCGTCATGCTGCCCCAATACTTACCTCATTGAGTTCTCTAAAATGGTCAGATACATAATTAGCGGTCTTCCCTCGACTGGTGGCATCAAGACAAGAGATTCTTGTAAATACTCTTTGATTTTGTCGAAAGCAATCTGACAGTCATCAAATCCAGTCCAAAACACTAATATAAATGATATGCCTACGTGAAAAGGCTCATACCATAACTAACCACCCAAGTAAAATGTACTTTTCTCAGTGCCATGTCACTACATGATGAAATCAAAAATAATATTTTTTAAATGGATGACAACTATGCACCTAGGGGCTTTGGTGGTTGCTTTTACGAATATACTAGAGGATGATGTCATATCTTCGGTCACGCAATTCTTTACACTAAATTTTATCCTACCCATTCTTGCCTATATCAATATTACTTTGATACCCAAATTTCATGGCAGATACCATAAAAAACTTTAGACCTATAGCATTGGAAAAATTTTAGTTTAAGATTAGCTGACAGAAATGTTAGCTTGACTCCCAAAATAATCTTAGAGCTCCATAGACGATTCTATACGAAGCAAGAGTATATCTGAATGCACAAGAAATCCATTTGAAGAACATGGCTATGAAAATTGATATAAAAAAGGCATTGGATACTCTAGAGTGGAGTTATTTAGATTAGACCAAATATTCTTCAATTGAATTCGATTAAGCCAAATATTGGTTGAATCTAGTGAAGTATAAATGGATCTTTTAGATTAAATCCGTAGATCACATTAATATATGGTGACATATTTAGATATTATTTGAGCATTTCGACTAAAGGTATGAATAACCACATTTTTCAAACAGAACTACATAGCGTTAATGTCAGCCATCTACTATGCAAACACATAGATGAAATCACATATGGTTAGGAAGTGATTCAACCTTTGCAATTCAAGCGCCGTATAATGAAAAGTTAATTCCTTTGAAATTATTGACCGATTCGAAAAATAACTTGCACACAGTTCGTTAATATTTTTTAATAAAAAACTTTTTGCAATACCTACTTTTTTTTTTTCTTCTCTGTTTGTTTCTTCCAATTTCTTCTTCTCACAAGCTTCCCTATCATAACACCTAATTTACTGCTGGTCATAATCGCGTAACCTCTAAATCACTCACTAAATTCAGACTATTTGGAATCCACAAGGAGACGGATGAGAAGTCGTAGGTGTGGTTGCCGTCTCGGTGGATCTCGACACCTATCAATAATACGTTTCAATGGATCTTGGCTTGGGTGGTGGCAACTCTTGTCCGCCTCGACCCAAATGGAGAAAAGTTGCATACGGCGGTATGCAACCTGGATACCATGACAATCATACGGATGAAACATTCCTCGAAGGAATGGTCATGAATGCTAGTGTTGTAAAAAGGGATATGCTAAAGGTGATGCTAGAACATGGTTGACAACATAGATAGTTTTGATTCTTGTATTGCAATTAAATCAAGCTTTTCAAAGTGGCGGTTTAAACTTAAATCCAGGACTACTAAAAATACATATATACTTTTACTCTTACGTATTGTTGGCTCTTGAATTCGACACCTATTATATATTAGTCTTTTAGACCAAAAATGGAACAAATAAAATCAAACTGGAGAGTGTTTCGACGGGTGAAAAAACTTAGAGAAAATATCTAAGTTACATATTGGTCTTCGACCAGGAATCACTATCAAGATTTCGACTGAGAAGGTCTTATGACCTTCGACTAGAAGAACATACCTTCGTGTCGACACCAAAGGCGAGAGACATTTGAATTTGAATTGTTGGAGGGAAAGACGGTTTCGCCAGCAGTTAAAGGAAAGCAACGTGGCTGGAAGCTAGAGGTCGAGGGACATGCAGAGGACACTTGTCTTCATCTTATAGCAGAGCCACCCCTCGACGGTTACATAAGTTTTAGTATAAAATAGAAAGTCTGTGTAGTTTTTCCGGGTGTTCAACCTATATTGCTAGTTACTCAAACATTGTCTAAGTACCCGCTGTGTGTGAAAGGATAAACTGACAAATGTACGTTAGAAACACCACTTTTCATTAATAAAGTCTTTTTACATTGCTTTGATCTTATTTTGCGAAATTACTTTTCCTGCATATTTACCTGCATTTCTATTTACTCTTACTTTCCAAAACCACAAGTATCTTGTCTTTGGTCGGACGTGTGTTCTTCCTGGATATCTATTATTACATCAAACCAGTATAAAAGTTAGCATATGTTCAGGGATCAATCTGATCGATCATGCGAGTAACAAAAAAGACTTCCTTTTTTGGAGGATCAGCGGTTGTTTACCAAAAACCACGGTAAACACATATATGCCAAAAACAAAAGAAAAACTGAATGAACAAATGTAGTTTAAACCAAGCATTATTTGATGTTTGTACAAGTCAATCTCTTCTTTCAACACCGGACATACCCCTCAACCAAAACCAACCCAACAGCACAATGAATAGATTAAACAAGAAGAACATAATGGATTTTCCTTTAACACCAAGTAATCTGGTTCGAGGCTTTTCTTTTTCCTGCTCCAATTCCTCGTGACACTCATCTTCACTCTCAGTGTCATCAACACCTTCTTCACAAGTGTTAAAAAATCTGGCCAACCTTTCTGAGATAGATTGTAATTCTTGGTCCAGCGATTCTTCGTCTCCCTCATAATCATCATCCCCTTCATAGATTAGATGAATTCCACTTTTTATCAATTCAAACCTCTCATCAAAAGGAGGACTCCTCTTTGTCACACTAACCGTATCAGCGTCTTTTAAGAAGGCTACCAATGGATGGTAATCATGGAACCTTTGCAACTGTATGTGTGGTTCATCTGTCCTTGGCACTCCCCATATGTTTAGCCCTGAACTAAATATTTGTTTGCCCGATTTGAAAACATTTGCTTGAACATCAACCACTCCAGGTGTTTCAATATTCATATTGTTATGGTTAATTGAGAAATTAACACCTACAACTACACTTGTTAGCTCAAGATTTTTGTGCTTGGAAAAGCTGACAGTTTCTCCAGAAAACCATTCCGGTAACTTGGTTCCTGGCATGCTCAAGTTCTGAAGATTTCTCAGTGCAACCTGTCATAAATATAAGCAACGACAAGCGATTAAGGGTTCATTTACTTTTGGTGTTTCACTCATCCGTAAAGAAGATACAAATTGTAATTGAAATAAAAAAACAGACCCTTAGTTCTGATTTTTGTTGATTTTTACTATTCACGGAATCAGTATTTATAGGCAAAGAGAAGAAGATAACAACCTTTGAAAGTCTTTTGCGTACTTTGGAGGAGCATGCACTGCAACCACTAAGGAACAATCTTCTCAAGGACTTCAAGCATTCAAGTCCTGGAATATCCGCCACTTTCTCACAGTTTGTGAGCTTCAACTCCTCCAAACTCTCTAAATTTGACATGTCGTGTATAGTTTCTAATGCATAACAATTATCAGCGTTTAGCTCGATCAAGCTTGAAGGAAGTGAGGGGAGAGAAGTCAGCTCCATGCAATTTGGAAGTAAGAGTTTCTTGAGAAAGGAAAGACCTTTCAAACTGGAAGGAAGGCTGTGGAAATTGTTTTGGCCCAAATTTAAAGTCTCTATTAGTGATAGCTTCTCGAATTCATCAGGAATTTTCCCAGATAATCTCCAAGCACGGGCATCAAACTCATATAGCAAGGTCAGATTGCAAAAAGAAGACGGTATCACAAAAGAGCCAGTGTTCTCCACAGATATGGGAACTGAAGCAGGCCTCTTTGCCATTCTCAGTGATCTCAAGCTTGAGAGCATACCGAAACTTTCAGGCAAGTCAAACATAGCTGTTTCCTCCATCTTTAAGTGACATAGAGATTTCAATTTTCCTATAGAAGCTGGGAGGTGTTTAAGCATTCTACATTTGTTCAATGTTAAGGTAACAAGATTTTCCAATAATCCAATTGACACTGGTAATTCTTTGATATTTCCATTGTTTATGTTCAGCGAAGTAAGAGATCCTAGGTGGCCAACGGATTCTGGTAATGATTCAAGATTGTTGCAATTCCCAATATCAAGTTTCCTTAGTTGTTTCATGTCTCCAATTTGATCTGGAAGATATCTGAGAGCTGTTCCATCTAACTCAAGTTCAATAATTGAGGCCAGAGTTTTAATTGAGTCAGGCAATTTACAGAGATGTTTACTGTTTCCAACTGATAATGTCCTCAGATAGGATAAAGAACCAATGGTGGAAGGGAGTTCTTTAACTCCACTGTTGTAAGCCAAAAGCTCTGTCAACGATACGAGATTTCCAATAGAATCTGGCAATTGAGTGAGAGATGCACACCAGTTCAAACTTAATTTCTCAAGGTTTTTCAAAGATCCAATACTTTCGGGTAATTCTTGTAAACCTGATTGATTAAGAGATAATTCTTGCAAAGAACATAATTTTCCAATGCAGTTTGGCAGTCTTCCCAAATATGAGCAACTGTCTAAAACAAGTCGTTCGAGTTTGGTCAAGCGAAAAATGGACTCGGGCAACTTTACTATAGCAGTGCCATCAGCCTCAAGTGTTTTCAGCGATTTAAGTATGCCTATGTTTTCGGGTAATACTTTCAAATTGGTGCAACTAGAAACAACTAGGATCTCCAGATGTTTCAGCCCAGACACATCACTGGGAAGCTCAGTGATGATTTTACAACGCCTCAAATTCAAATTACGCAAGGTAGTCAAACTGCCAATTGATTCATGAATCCTTTTTAGATTAATGCAATTCTCCATAATAATTTTCTCTAGCTTGAGACACCCAGATAAATCAGGGATTGCAGCAAGTTGGTAGCAGTCGGAGAGGTTTATGACCAATAGGTTCTCTGGAACCTGCTATACAGTATGATGTTATATTGTAAGATGTTATATTTGTAGAAGTTATAAGGTTTTCGTCCTTTCCATATATAACAAAGAGAAAAAAGGAACAGAAACCGATATATGTTTTTGTGTAAAAAATCCTAGTAGTGAAACTTAATCCTAGCGTGCTGTATTTGTTGCATGCAAAAGACCCATTAATATTCTTATTTATTTTATTCTTGTACTACTCTTATTTGAAAAACTGGTTTAACGTGTCCCTATTCACTAACAAAAATAATTGTGAATAAAGTTGCAAATGCAATCACCAAAATTTGAGCATTTGTGATTAAATTATGCATCAAATAGCTAAAGCATGCATGTACCTTGTGGTGACTTTCCAATGCACTCAAGCTTTTAATTTTCTCAGCATTTGAGAGATCAAGGATAGTCAGTTCACGTGGCAATGTGTCCAAAGGAATGCATTCCAAAGGACATCCTTGCCATTGTAGCCATTTCAGTTCATCGGGAAGAAACTTGCCTTCCAAACTCATATTATTGATCTGAAGCAATCGTAATGTAACCATTGGTTCAAAGGATTTTGTATCAAGTGTAACATAGTTATATTTCTCTGCTACAATGATTGATCTTTTCTTAAAGTCTAGTACAATTCCTTGTATGCATCTTGTTCCCTACATTAAATAGGCATCATATACAGTAAGTTCCTTCTTTGGCAAAAAATAATAGAGGGATAAAATCGAATTGAACCAACATATTCACTGGTTGGCTCTCGGGATGCAACCTTTCGTCATGAAAATAATCATTTTCCAAAATCAAAACAAAAGAATATTCAATCAGATAGAAGTATTTGTAATCTTATGAAAATTGACACATATGGATTGCTTTATAATATATAAAACAACAGCATGCAGTTTTATCCTACTAAACCCAGCAAAGTTAGTAATATTATTATCTAGTCTATTGTTTCTGTATTATTAAAATTTGTTCTCAAAGGCCAATTTTGTCTGCTAGTCTTATTATTTTATCTTACTGCTGGCAGCATAACAAGCATAAATGACATACCCTTTTTGAATAAAATATTAATGAATGATTTTGGACACTTTTTGCAACTTAAAGTCTCTTTTGAAGCATTTTATATAAATCAAACTTTGTATTCTGCAATGTTTCATAATCATTTACCTTCTTACTCTTCAAAACGGACATGATTTCAGCACGATCCCACAGTCTACTTCGCATCCCAGGATCAACATGGTTTTCATCCATAACAATCTGTCTTCCCATGTCTCTAATTTGATCATGCATCCACAAGGTATTGTCATGTTTTATTTTGATTAAGCATTTCTGTACAAGGATGGTCATAGCTATCTCTCCTCTAAACCCACAACCTCTCAATATATCAATCACGTCACCGCGCTTCATTTCCATTTGAAGAAAGAAACAAGCAATATCAAGGAATATACACTTCTCTTGTTCGTCCAACCCATCATAACTTATCTTCAACACATCATGAAGATTCCCGGGTCGAATTGTTCTCAGCTTCACAACAGCATCCTCCCACTCCTCCACCCTCCTTCTCTCACACAGAAAGCAACCAAACACTTCCAAAGCCAATGGCATTCTTCCGGTAAGAGATACAATTTTCTTTGAAAGATCCAGAAAACTTGGTGGAGGGTCCTTTTTCTTCAAAGCATGGTAACTGAATAATTGTAGAGCTTCTTCATCATACAATTCTTTGACTTCATACATCTGGTTGACATGTTTTTCAGGCAAAGCAGTCGTGTCCCTTGTTGTAATGATTATACAGCTTCCTTTATAAAACCATTCCCTTTTACCAATCAAAGCATCAAGCTGGCTTACATTATCAACATCATCCAACACTAGCAGAACTCGATTTTCATGAACTATTCTTTTGATAGTAGCAATACCGGCATTGACATCACTTACAAAACTCTGAGCTCCTTCTTGAGAAGAAAGATCTTTAATGATATTGGTTTGAAGAGAAAGCAAACCACCCTCTTTAGACGAGGAGTTTCTCACATTTGAAACGAAACATCTACGCTCAAAGCGAGCAACGAGAGTATTGAAAAGAGCCTTGGCAAGTGTTGTCTTACCAACACCTCCCATCCCATACAACCCTAAGACCTTGACGCTGTTGGGTTGAAGTTGTAACAGATGTATGACCTTGTCAACACGTTGATTGAGCCCGACTAGAAACTCAGCCACAACCATCGGAGTATTACTTAACTCCTTCAAAACCCTTTTCACCAAAAGGTGTATCAGATTTTCAAGCTGGCCTTCATAACTAAGAAACAAAAAGAAGAATGAGTAAGGTGAAGAAATGAGTAAGATGTTAACAAAAAAGGGTGATTACGAAATAGAGAAACCTGTCATTGAAAACAAAGCCAGCAAGTCCACCAAGTAGCTTCATAGAATGTCTCCACTTGGAAACCATAAGATTACCAAATCTGTTTTCAAGATCAGTAAAACCTTTTTGAAAAGGGCCGGACTGTTTCCTAACATGAGAAGGATCAACTTTGTAGAAAACGGGAATAACAAGCCTCTTGCATTCAAAAATCCTGACAAGTTCATCGAGACACCAATGAGAGTCAGCGTAATTACGAGAGATAATAACAATGGAAGCAGCAGAATCATCAATAGCTTGAAGAAGAGTGATATCTATACGATCCCCACGGTCCAAACCCTCATCGTCCATGAAAGCACGAACTCCTTGACCATGGAGAGATTCGTATAGTTTTTTGGTGAAGCATTCGCGAGTGTCTTCACCTCTGAAACTCAAAAACACATCCCAGCGAAGCCTGAATGCTCCTCCAGCCGTGGAAGAAGAAGAAGACGAAGACATCCCCTCTGAAACTCTGATACAAGTGAAATTGCAGACAATATTAATAGCGTCTGCTTTACTTTGATTGACTAAAGTTTGTTTGCATGTACAGTTGGTAATACTATTATCGTCGGTGGCATGTGGAAATTTGAGAACACCTTCAATTCATTTCGTGGCCTCTTTCCATCCATCAATACATTGTTTGGATACAAGGAAAGCACAGATTCCAATCACAAATTGTTGAAAGAGAGTTTAACGGAAGGTGGAACCTACAAAAGAAGAAAAAAACACTTGATGAGAAAGCTCGCCAGTACGTACTTTTCTTACTATTCCTCTTTTGTTCTTGCTTTTATTTCCTTTTTCTTTTTCACTTGATTTTTTTTATAAAAATAGTTTAGTGGCTTAGATTTATCCCTTTAAAGATAAATAACTTAGATTTCGCATATTTAAACCTACCATTCTACCTCTTGGTATGAGTATCAATTGAGTTGGTATAATTGAAGAATCTTTATTCATTTAAATGCTATTGAAAGTAGGTTGAAACTACTTAATTTCAAAACTGAACCGGAATATAATAATATTGAAAAACAAAATAAATTCACTCATTTCATTTCTATTAAAACTCATACTTTAAAACAAAATCTTTTGCATAGAAAGTCTATGAAGTCTCGTTTTAATTAAAATAGAGTGACTAAAATAACATCTAAATTTATTTTTACCAAATTAATGAAATATATAAAGGAAAAAAAATTATTAAGACATCTAATGAGTAAATTAAAAGGTGATACTCTAATAAATACATATTAAAATTCTGATACTTGCAACATAAATGTTAAGATTAATGTCTCAACACATAACACAATATTAGGACAGATGTTATAACATCTTCTGCTGACAGAAACTTGTTAAAATAGGAGACTGTGTAGGATAAATTGCAGAAAATTAAACAACACAATCAATTATTAACTCAATTCGATGCAACGTCACCTACTCTGGGGACTATCAAGTCAGAAGGGAAATCCACTATGATAATATTAGTTCAAAGCCTAAACAATCACAGTTTACAACTTCTCTCCTAATCACTACCTTATGCAACTTCTATCTAGGAACCTCCTAGATATGAGAATCTCTTCTCACTTTCAATCACCTCAGTGATACCTACAGTTATAACCTGTGACTAGACCAAAAGAATCAAACAAAAGATTACACTTCAAATGCAAAAATACTTAGTTTTAGTTAAAAGCTTCTGTAATACGGTGAGAGAGCTGACTTTTTTGATTTTATCCAAATGTGCGGATAGCAAGAGTCGCCATCGACTTTTCTTTTATCCAATATAAAGAAAGGCTAATAAGAACAGGAAAGACCTTGATAGATTTTGGGTTCGGAGGGTAGGTTATGAAAAGTGAAGGTGTTCGCATCCTTTTCATCCGTAGTTATCTATGAGCTCTTAATCGCTAGCTAACTTTTTGAAATTTGCTTTGTGTGTGTGATTTATTGGAAAATATTATTAAAAATCCAAATTACGGTCAACTTTGTAATGATTCTTGTATCAATCCTCAAGAATGTGTATAAAGTGTTTGAAAATATTTTTGTTTGAAAAGTGTGATGTATAAAAATGTTTATTTCAAAAAAGAGTTGTGGGCAAGCGATTAAAAGTTCCTTACCCACTAAAGATCGTTCTTATTCTTTTCCTTCTCCTTTAGAGATATTGTTATCCGTACCATGAGTTGGTAGGTAGCCATATCTATTGGATGTGAAGGGACAGGTGAAGGATCATCGAATGGTCATTGAAGGCAACATATGGAGATACTTTAGCAATTTGTATCAGAGGGACTAGATCATTTTTCGTAGGCAACATCGAAGGGTCATCGAGGGACTATGATCTTTATTCGAGGGTCTTTTGCTAAAATATCCTTATTTTTTAGGGACATGACCAATTATCCGAAGGAAACAAGTGAAGGTTACCCTAGAGGTGTAAGTATGCATATTTGTTCAATTCGGTTATTTATCTTAGTATTTTAGGGTTTTCTAACGTTTTTTTTTTCTTTCCATACAAACTCTATTAGCATACATCTAACCGTTATATATACATGCATATAGAATATAAGTGCAAAAAGTAAAGCTCTATGACTATTACATGACTTCAGGGCAGTTATAATATTTAATAAAACCTTGCGAGAAATTAAACATTAAGCTATTACAATTTTTATACAACCTATACATTTGTCTAAAAATAAATAGAAAATAAATAAAAATACATGTTAAAAAATTATTTTTAAGATACTAAATGTCTAAAATGTCATGTTTTATTTTTTGTATTTTTTGGTTAATTTCAAGCATTTAGAAAATAATTAGTTATCTAATTCTAAATTAATTACAAAGGTTAATTAATTAAAAAAAACTAAGTCTAATAAAAATGAATTAAAAATATGTCTAAAATTATATTGATCTATTAAAAATCTAAATCTGATTTTATTATATTTTTGGATTAAAAATTAGTTAAAAAGAATTAATAGAAAATTAAAAGGAAAATGAGAAAAAAATTAGAAAAAAGGTTTGAAAATAGGGTAAACAAAAAAAAGTCAACGCTGGGGCTTGAACTCGCGCCCTTCCTTTCACCAATATTCCTCCTTGTCAACTGAGTTATGTTGTTTATCTGTTACTGGAACACAAACATATCATTATATAATAAAGCAATGCTTTTAATTTAAATTCAAAAGCAAGCCAACGCCAGTGTGGCCCTGTTATTTGAATGGACAAATAGAGAGGAGCTATCCAACACTACTACGAAAATGGGCTTTCACAGCGCTTTTTTTTGCCCTTTAAAAGCGCTTAAAAGCGCTGCCGTAGCCAGCGCTGGCGTAGGCTACGAAAGCGCTTTTTTCTGGCCAAAAGCGCTGTCGTAGGTGGACCTATCACAGCGCTTTTTCCTTAAAAAGCGCTTTGATAGGGGGGTCTTTCCCAGCGCTTTTTGAAAAGCGCTTTGATAGGTGTGCTATTTAAATTTTTTTTTTATTATTTATCAGGCCTTTTACAGCGCTTTTTATGGAAAAAGCGCTTTGATAGGGGGTTTCTATTTAATTTTTTTTTTTATTTATCATGGCTTTTACAGCGCTTTATGGAAAAAGCGCTTTGATAGGGGGGTCTTTCACAGCGCTTTTTCCATAAAAAGCGCTTTGATAGGGGGTTTCTATTTAATTTTTTTTTTATTTATCATGACTTTACAGCACTTTATGGAAAAAGCGCTTTGATAGGGGGGTCTTTCACAGCGCTTTTTCCATAAAAAGCGCTTTGATAGGGGGTTTCTATTTAATTTTTTTTTATTTATTTATCATGGTTTTTACAGCGCTTTATGGAAAAAGCGCTTTGATAGGGGGGTCTTTCACAGCGCTTTTTCCATAAAAAGCGCTTTGGTAGGGGGTTTCTATTTAATTTTTTTTTTATTTATCCTGCCTACGAAAGCGCTTTTTAGCCAAAAGCGCTTTCGTAGCTCATACAAATTTTTTAAAGTGAAACCTATAATTTGAGGTTCCCTGTGCGGCCTGTAATTTTTTTTTGGTCCAATAATTTAACCTGTAATTCAATCCTTATAATATTCACAGAAACCGGTATTATATTAACAGAAACCGGTATACCATATAGTACATTTGTAACCATAACTAAATCCTTATATACATATGTAACTAAATCACATACAAAGTATATATACATTTGTAACCATAATTCAATCCTTATATACATTTGTAACCATAACTAAATCACATACAAAGTATCGTGTTAATTTGTAACCATATATATATACATATGTAACTAAATCATATATAATTACATCGAAAATAATGTTCCACCGACACGGTCGTCATCCTGCAAAGTATGAATATGAACAACACGGTCAATTAAACAAACAATATTAAAGGCTCCAACACAATCAAACTAACACGTACAATAATATTTTATTCATACCCATCAGAATAATCTGTTTTCAACATAAAATTGACATATTTCCTCTTTGACTTCTTCCACTTGAACTTTCGTGTACGACATAGTATAGAGGTCATCAAAGTACTACATAAGAAATTATTACTTCAGTATATGCATGATGTTATTAAATGTAGAAATCATACAAAATTATTCTAAGTTATAAATCCATACCGTGCTTGGAATCTCTACTTGATTTTTATGAAGGATTTCTTTCATAAACCTCAAGCAAAAGTATCCGCAATCTACATCGTTATTCTGTAACGGACACTGCATAGAAAAACAGAATATATTTTATAGTTGTCGTGTAATTTTATCAAGTAACATTATTATTATAAGCAACTAATTTTGTACCTGCACTTTGATCCAAGTAATATTTGATGATTTACTCCGGGGTACCTGTGCGTCCCTTTGACTACGAAATATTTGTATTGATCTAAGAAAATAAAAACATATATTTAGATCAATCTCACAGAAATAATTAAATATATAAATATACACGAATAGTTAGAACGATCTCACTTACTGATCAACAGTTTCCTTCATAGCGGGATAGTTAGTCCATTCCCCGTCTACCGAATTCAGAAAGTACACAACTTCTTTAATCGGATCGATAGCCAACAACAACCAGTGTTTTCTAAAAATTTAAGCAACAGTTTAGAAGAAAAGTTTCTACGCAAAATAAACAAAGATATATTAGAATAAATGAAAAACTCACCCCACTGGAACAGTGTTATACGGCAAAATAAACAAGCTATCTGGGTTGCCGACGTAGGCCGTGTATCGATTCACTAAGTACTCCCTAACTGAACCCGGTTCCCTGACAATTGTCGCTCCGCTGACAATATGGGCAGACAAGAAATGGAAGCGTCTTGCCAATACAGTCTCGCGCATTTTTTTATCGTACAACAACCTTAAATAAAAACATATAAACATTAGACTATTTTCATTGAAATGTGTAAATAAATTGTTCAACTAATTAAATGATATATTTATCGGAATACCGGATGTATGCGTGAACATTGCCGATGCCTAATTCACCA